TGGGAATGGGGATGGGAATGACATACCCACCCCCGATTCGACCCATTGCCATCCCTAAGCCCAAACTTGAATTATGAATAATGCCCCTAAACCCAAAAATGTCTCTTCCCACTTAAAAATAGGACCGGGCTATAATGAGAGGTCTTTTATGCAAGGGTTTATTACAGGGGTTCCCTTGATGGTCAATCAAATGGTGTAAATTTAACATTCTCTTCATGATACAACCGGTTTCAATTACCCCTTTTTTAAGAACCAAGAGGTTCGCCATCCATGCCATTGAAAGTGAATACATGAAATTCTTTTTTCCATTTTCGCCTCTTTCATCATTCAATGATTAATTACATCCCAATTAAGGGAAAATTTTAAGTGTACACTTATACATATCAAGTGAGTGAGATCGTGGGATTAGAGAAATACATGTTGTTGCACCAAAACCCAAAGACCCCATTATTAATATCCATTTTTATAAATATATTGATCACTTTTAAAATTTTCTGGAGAAGCATGCGATTCAGGTGATCAATTAGAAATATTACTGCCATCAACAACAAATTAATAGTTTTAGTTAGTAGTTGACAGTGCTTGAACACCCAAGTACATAATTAACTAGTTAATTACTTGTATTAGAAATTAATGACTTAAATATTAGGGTGTACTTAGATAATAGGGTGTACTAAGTTAATTTTAGGGTTCGTTTAGCATCACTCAATAAAAAAAGTGTTTACTATGGTTTATGAATTGCTTAACAGATTTGATTGGGCAAATGGAAAGTTTATAGTTCTTTATAGTAATATTGGAATAAACAAAGTTCACATTTTGACTCGATAAATCCAACATTTAAGTCATATTTCAAGATTCGCGTGACGACATACCTTTGTTGTGCATATAGACATATGTATGTACGTACATTACACACAAGTCAGTTCTTGCACATACGGTAGCATGGTAATTAAGATAAGTGATCTTAAAGGCTTCCCAGTGTGGCAATTGGAGATGATGTGTGGCCATCGAGCTGGGAAGCAATTAGGCGATCAAAGGCTGCCCAACTGGTGAGCAGGGCCTGGTCCTGACTTTTCGGTGGCCCTAGGCAATAAACTAAATGAGGCCCCTTCCCTTAGTATATATAAAATTGCAAAAAAAACAACAAATAAAATGATTTTATGTAGAGTGTAGCCATATCTCCATATAAAACAAAAAAATTCTGATTACGTATTTAATATCATGAAGGAAATTAAAAATTTACAAACCAACATTCCAACAACCAATAATGGGAACATGTCAAGATACATTAAAACTAAGTGTTTGTACAAAATACTAAACCCTTTCCCTTAAGATTAGCTTCTGGCTTCAAGCTTCATCACATGAGTTTAGCAAAATCAGCTTTAAAAACAACATATGAAATGGTTGCAGCAAATTTGGATGGGTACAAAATCTTCCTGTAGCCTTCTTCCTCCCAAACAGGCAGCCAATAAGAGATCCATCCCATTACAATGTGCAAATATCTGAAGCTTTCCCTTTATCAAATAGCTGCTTGATTTCCTCTGCACCATTTACAATCAAAAAAGTAAAAACTGTAACATTAAAAGTACAATCAAACACTGAAAAATCCTTGATCTTCTAGCACTTTGAGAAACTCCACTCCGTACCTCCACCTGATTCATGTACATCTGCAATGATAAGATATATGCAAGCTTTTGTTAAGAAAAGTTTAGTAGATGTCATTGTGCAGTTTTATAGCGACTTATATAAGGAGACTTGGGAGATTATCTCCACCAGGCAGAGGATGTTTTGCCTTAGAAACAAATCCAAATTAAGTGAGCTAGCTGTATGCTGTAAGTTAGCGGCTTGATATCTAGAAAAGTCAAATTAGAGTGCCAGTATGAATCTATAATTATCCTTTGCGGAGTTTCGTAGAGACAAAAAACAAGTTAGACAAGAATAAAATCTGAACAATAATCTGATTACCACTCTGTATCTCTCTGTGTTTTGTTCCTATTGGAAATTGAATTGAAACAATAGTTTGCTGGGTAGGAACAAATATAAAGAAAAAATTATAAATCTGATTACCTTTTCAGTTTCTCATGCTCCTTCCCTCTTGGTCACCATCAATCTCAAAGACAATTTGTGAGCTTTTTGGGTGAGATTGAAACTTAGGGTTATAATATGAATCTGATATGAGAAAGATGATAGAAACTGAAAATAAAGGATATGGATAATGGATTGAAGGGAGATGGGAATAACAGAGAAAAATATAATGGTGGATTATTAAGAGATCGATGGATTAAATAGAGCTCCATGGAGAAATAATTAGGAAAGGAGCTGTTGCTCTTGGCTGGTTGTGTGGCGTAGGAAACAAAGAGTTTCTGAATGGGAAGAGGAACAGCCTTCCTCGTCAATTACAACGCTGACTTTCTGTTTTTATTT